AAAGAACTGAATGGCCAATAGCAAGGCAGGAGAAAGGATAGGCAGAGCTGGCAAGCAGAGAGAATACATAGAAGGAGAAATCTGGGAGGTCAAGGCAAGTAGACATAGAAGGAGGAGGACTCCAGGGGCCAGCCACCCAGCTACACAGCAAGCCATGGAGTAAGAGTAAGATTTACAGAAGTAAGAGAACAGGAAAAGCCCAAAGGCAAAGGTAGATGGGATAATTTAAAGTTAAGGAAAGCTGGCTAGAAACAAGTCAGGCTAAGGCTGGGCATTTATAATAAGAATAAGCCTCTGTGTGTGACTTATTTGGGAGCTGGGTGGTGGGCCCCTGCAAAGAGCAAAAAACAAACAACTTAAGTGTGTGTGTGTGTGTGTGTGTGTGTGTTTGTGTGTGTGTGTGTGTGTATAAGCAGGAGCTCTCATGGATACAGGCTTGCACAAGGTGTAATAATAACCAAGTTGAAACATGAATTTAAGAAGGAGGGACACAAGAGGAATTGGGAGAGGAACAGGAGGTGTACAATTATGTAAATAAGTATTCATGTATGACGTTAAAAAAAGAGCAGGGCATCTGAGAAATAAGTGTTTTTGTTTGTTTGTTTGTTTTGTTTTAAGATAGGGTCTGATTATAATGTAGCACTGGTTGTCTTGGACCTCACTCTGGAGACCAGGCTGACCTTGAACTCACAGAGATCCACCCTGAACCCAGAATCTTGTGTTCACTAGGCAAGTACTCTACTACTGAGCTACATTCCCCCAGCCCAAGATTAGGTTCTTAGTGCTTTGTTTCCATTATACCCCAGGTAGGTGTCATTTTACAAAGGTGAATAATCAGGTTACTTTGAGTATCAATTGGGGAAAAACTCAAATAGGATTTTTCTGTTTCATCACAATTATAAATTATCTGGCAAAAGAAACAGAGAAGGGCAAATTAGGAAGCTATTTGTATTTGCTGGTCTTGGAGTAGTATTATACAGGCCTCCTGACTTCTACACAGAACTCAGTTTACAAAAGCAGTCACTTTTACCCTGTGTGCTGAAACCAAAATCCAAAGGCAAAGAAATGGCATAGCATTCAGGGTGCTATTGTATCTTTCCTTTCTGTTCTCTAATCTTTTTTTTTTTTGTTTTTGTTTTTTGTTTTTTGTTTTTCGAGACAGGGTTTCTCTGTGTAGCTTTGCGCCTTTCCTGGGACTCACTTGGTAGTCCAGGCTGGCCTCGAACTCACAAGATCCACCTGGCTCTGCCTCCCGAGTGCTGGGATTAAAGGCGTGTGCCACCACCGCCCGGCTCTGTTCTCTAATCTTTATGCAACACTACATATAGTTTCCTTTACAGAAATATCTATTACCAACAAAACCAGAAAGACAAGCAGAAAACATCATAAAATCTAGACTTTCAAATGACAGCAAGAATTAGGAGACTCTACCCTAACGCCTATCAATACTGATGTTTTCTTCTTTCTTTTCAGAGCTCCATTCAGTGTAGCTCAGAAGCGAGTTTCCACATCGCTCTTTACCCAGAGAGACTACACTGCCACACACGTGAAGCACACGGCACAGGAAGCAAGGGCACTACTTCTAACTCCAGGGCTGTGTTTTAGTATGATCTCAGCAATTTTTTTTCAGTAAGATTTTTGTCAAGTTTTGTCACTTTACTCATATCTTACAAAGCAACTAATTAGTTCAGAAGCTGTAGTTCTGAAGTACTAAATCATCTTAAAATCACATGCAATAACACTATTTTCTTTTTAGTGCCATTCTATCTTTCTAATCTGTGGATAAAGGAATACAACACCTTAAAGTTAATATTCTCTTTTTTGAGACAGGGTCTAAGTATCCTGCCCAACTTAAAATAAGCCTCTTACCTCAGCCTCCCATTTGCTGGGATGGTGCCATGTGCCACCACACCTGGCTTGAAGTTAACAGTCTACACACACACACACACACACACACACACACACACACACACCATACAACACCTCTTCACTCCCTTCACTACTGTTATCTTCTATCGAACTCAACTTTTGTCAGTCTTTTAATGTTACATTCTCTGTGATAGGAAAGAAACCAAATGCTTCGTTATCTATTAGTAGTAATCGTTTTTTCAATACCTTCAGTATTCAACCTACACCCACTGGCACATTATGACATCATTGCCTTCCAGTGTTTGTTCAGACTGAACAACCCGTTCTATTTTGCTCCGCTGCCTTCAACACAAAGCAAATGCTCCTTTTACAGTAGGTTGCAGAGCCAGCTAAGAAGCGAATGCGTGCATGTCCATTTGCACTCACTGCCTGGTAAATTACATTTTTTTTTTTAATTTACTGCAACTGATTTGGAGTGTCAACCTAACCAGAGGAAAAGCTCTGGACAGGATCAAATCTTACATGGCACAAGAGAGGGGGGCGGGGCCGACCGCCAGCCCTCAACTACAGATTCCAAGGCTTGCAAGAGATAAACAAAGGAAGCGGATTCTCCTGAAAGGCGCCTACAAGCGCGTCGGCCTCCCTGAGCATTCGGGTGGAAGCCCACGGTTCACCACCTCCCGGCGTTCACATGCTGACTTTTTCTACAAGACTTCCTTTACGGGCAGACACGCAGCAGGGCGGTGAAGACTGACAGATAACAGAAGGAGCGGCAGTCATTCTTCCCCGAAGCCCGAACCCCCCGCTGCCCGTCATGCACTTCTCGGGGCGGGGAGGGGGGGGAAACATTGCGCAGAAGGCCGCGGGCGCCGAGGCGCGGGCCGGTCCTCACCTGGCAGCCCTTCTTGTGGTGAAAGCCGACCACCACGATGTGCAGGACGGGCCCGCAGGGGGCGCCGTCACCCTCACGCCCAGCCTTCTCCATCATGGGCGTCCGCCGCAGGCCCGCACCGTGACTCCAACCGCCGAGACCCGGCCGCACGACCCAGAGCGGCGGCCTCCAGATGTCAGCCCGAGCGCCGCATGTGCGCTGCACCACGGGCTCGGGGGCTGCCGACCAGCTCCCGCACCTCCGCGCTGCCCCACAGGGCCTCCACGGCTCTGCTTCATCCGCTTCCGCAGCTTCCGGGCTGTCACCTGACGCTACAGCCGCCTCCGGCGCCGTGGGGGCGGGACCCGGACGCCCCAGTCCGGGCGGGGTCTGAGGCGGCATGGGCGGAGCCCGGAGAGGGGGCGGGACTAGAGGGGAAGGAGGCGGCGAAGGGGCGTGGCTGTATGGCAGGAGGGGCGGGGCCTCCAGGACGGAGGCGCGGCCTACAGAACCGGTGGAGCAGGGCAGGGCGGATGCTGACCCTCATGGACCTTTAGTAGCAGTGGAGGAAAGCCTAGGGGTTGAGTGTGGCTGCGGGTTACACCTGCTCCTTTCTTCCTACGTTCTTTGTCAAATCACTTCCTTCTAAAATCTATTTTTCCTTCTGGAAATCTCCTTCCTCCTCCCTCAGTTTTACTTCTTTATAAACGTGTTTATTCTTCACTCTTTAAAATCGTTTTGTGGAATCTCTCAGCCTTGAGTTTTAAAAGTTAACAAGGAGGCATATTTATGACGTTCGGTATCTGGTGTATTCGACGTCTAAATTAAGTTGCTTTGCTTACACAAATTTTTCTTTGGTTTCGTTCTGGAAATTTTTTTTTATCGAATTTCTATGTGTAGTCCCAGGCATTGGCTGCATGCATGTAACCAGAACGTGAAGGGCTGAGGTGGGAGGATTGCAAGTTTCAAGCCAACTTGGGCTACATAGTGTTAGAAATGTGCTCCCAAGGTAAAAGTTCACGACTCCAATTATAGAGACCCAGCAGAATTTTATAACTTCAGATCCGGCCGGGCTTGGTGGCACACTCCTTTAATCCCAGCACTCCAGAGGCAGAGGCAGGCAGATTGCTGAGTTTGAGGCCAGCAGGTTCTCCAGAGAGAGTTACAGGACAGTCAGGGTTACACAGAGAAACTCTGTCTCATACAACAACAATAAGAACTAATCACAATAATTTCAGACCAGAAGAGTCACAGTCCAAAAATCAGAGGAGCAAGGACTTTGGATCAGGATGGCCTCAGTCCTCCTAAGGTCAGGTTGTGGTGGTGTGGGTGGTAGCTTTTCCTCCTTAGTGGAGATTCGGTCTCGCAGTCTCCTCCTGATCAGCTAATTTAGAAAGTGGCTGGAAAAGAAGAACAAAGACAGAGTACAGAGTAGTCAGTGTTGAAACTGAGCACACCTGGCTAAAGGACCTGGGGCAGGGAGAGGAGAAGATGATGTGGTTATTAAAACTGTTTGGAAGAAAAGACAAGTTTCTCCCAATCGAGAGTTTAAGGTCAGTCTAGGCAAACGGGGATCCTTCTCAGACCTGCAAAAATAAATACATAAATTATATGCAAGAGTTTGGGAGCAATGTAAGCCTTGAATCTTAATATCTTTGGCAATAAAGATTTACATTTTACCTGTGAAATGATTATTCCAGTACCGTGATTAAATGTGTGTGTGTGTGTGTGTGTGTGTGTGTGTGTGTGTGTGTGTATACAATTTTCATTGCATCTTCTGGGGTTTATTATAAGTAGCACAAAATAGACCTGTTGTTCCAAGGGTTTCCAAATCCTTTGCTGAATGAACTACAATTTCAAAAAGTAAATTGTTTAAGTGCTACTAAAACTATTCAACATTTTCAATATGTTACTATCCATATCCTTTTTATATTACAAAATTCTTGACAGTGCTCATGGTTTCATGAAAAATACATTATTCCCAGGATACAGAGTACATTAACATTTCTTAACATGTTACCCTTTTATGTTAACTACTTGATTTTTGCTATTTTCTTTCTTTTTTAAAAAATTATTTATTTTTATATTATATATATTGGTGTTTTGCCTTCATGTATGTCTGTGTGAAGGTGTTAGATCTAGGAGTTACAGACAATTATGAGCTGCCATGTGAGTGCTGGAAATTGAATCCCTGTCCTTTGGAAGAATTGTCTGTGCTCTTAACTGCTGAACCATCTCTCTAGTCCTAAATTTTACTATTTTCTTGATGTAAACTGTGTTAATATTTTCCACAGTTGGCATAGCTAAAATTAAGTCTAATTTCGCACGTTTGTTTGAAATGTGTAGATAGATTTCTGTCTCCAGTAAACATCAATATTTAATTCAGTGTTCAGGAGACATAGTTATGACTTTAGAAATATGTGTCACTTTGCATCCTAGAGTGGTCATGTGAGATTAAATCATCTATTTATAACTATTATGCTGAAACATTTGAAGAACATATCATTTAAGGTCAGTCATGTTGTATTTAGTTACTATCTGACCAAATGCTTGACAGGAAGTGACTTAAAGAAGAAAGGATTTATTTCAGCTCAGGGATTGAGAAGATACAGTACACCAAAAAAGTGAGAGACAGAAGACTTCATGGTCTTCAAACTGGCTCATTTAACAGTTTAGAATGGCACCTCCTTTATATTTTTATATGTGTGTTTTTACATGTTCGTGTATGTGTGCACATGTGTGTGGAGGCAAGAGATCAGACATTTTTCTTCAATTGATTTTCCACTTTATTTATTGACAGGGTCTTTCCCCGAACCCGGAGTTCACCAATTTGGCTAAATTAGGTGATCAGCAATCCTTAGGGCCCCTCCTGTCTCTGCCTCGCCAGCACTGGAACTACAGATGTCAGTCACTATTCCCAGATTTTCTTACATAGGTGCTAGGTACTGAACTCAGGCCCTGCTGCTTGGGTGGTAGACACTTTACCAACTAAGCCATTTTTTCCAGACTCTGCATTAGTTTTTAAGTGAATTGCATTACTGTAGAATAAATTCATTAAAAGGATATTCTTCACAAGGACAAATGCCTTAGTAAGAAAAACAATTTCTTTTATTTTCAAAAGTATTAGGGAGGGGATTCCAAGTCTGGAAAGAAATACTAGTTAGAGAAAGCTCTGTATGTTTCTGTACTTCATGTTGAAAGGAAATTTTGATTGTGTTTATATAATGACATTTAACTTCAGAGGATATTTAAATGCTTTTCTGAACATATAACATCTTGAAAAGCCTTTTCTACATACATATACTTTATGATGATTCCTGGATTTCGTTTATACCTGCTCTGTAAGGAACCAGTGCAGGATGCATTCTGAGACAAGGAGTTCTGGCCCAATTTCCAACTCACTGGAATTGTAACTGAAATCAGCTGGCTGTTCCTTGCCTCAGGAAAGAACATGTCCAATAATCTTGTTCATTCTACTTTGTGAATGCCATGAGCTCACTTTTCAGAGTCTAAAACGATTTTTTCTCTTTTGTGGCATTAAAAATTGCTAATGTTGCTAAGCCCAATGGTGCAGGCCTTTAATTCCATCTTGGGGATTTAATTCCTACTTGGGAGACTGTGGCAGGAGGGAAGAAAGTTCAAGGACTGCAGGGGTACAGAGTGAGTTCAAGGCCAGCCTGAGTGTCTTAGTGAGAGCCTGTCTCAAAACAAAGCAAAACACCAAAACAAAACAACCTCCCCCTAGGAAACCAAAAGCCAAAAAGAAAACCAACCAAGCAAACAAAACAGGACAGGTTAGAAGCATAAAGCTCAGTGGGCTCATTGGTAGAGGGCTGTCCCAGTGTCCATGAGGTCCTGTTTTCATCCCCAGCACTGCAAATAGAAAATTGCTAGTGTTCATTTTGTTCATGTCATGGGAGACTTAAAGCATGGACTGTATTATTCTCTTTCTGATGAAAATAAAACAGGAGTAAGGGTAGAAAAGAAGGAGGCTTCATAAATGAGTTGAGCCTTACTCCATACTTAGAACCTTACAAAGATTAAGGAGCGTGTCAATGGGCATAAATTTGGAGATGATATAAATTCAAAGAACATCGATTAGACCAAATCTAGGAATGTGGTAGCTATAGTGCACCAAGCAAGATAAATGGGTGCCTTTCTATGGTTTATAGTTATAAAATAATCTTGCCTTTACATTTACTTTTCATTGGTTGGAGTGGGAGGACAGTTTTTGGGAGCTGGTTCACTTCTACCTAGTGAGCTCCAAAAGTTAAACTCAGGTCATCCAGCTTGGCAAAATGCACCTTTACCCATTGAACCATCTCACCAGCCCCCCAAATGAGAAAGTTGCAAGCAATTAATAATGCTACCTGTATGTAGTCCCTACCCTAGGCCAACTATCATGTTAGTATTAGGAAACAAAGACCAATAAGTACAATACATCAAATACAATACAGTTTGCTAGGCACTAGATCTTGTCCTAACCAATTTTCATAGGTTATTTCATTGAATCATTAAAATAATCTTTTCAGTGGGTGAGAAAGATAGTTCCATGGTTAAGGGCATTGACACCTCCTCCAGAAGGCCCTCCAGAAGCATCCGCATGATGATTCACAACTGTCTGTGACTTAAGTCCCAGGAGTTCTGATGCCTTCTCTGACCTCCATGGACACCAGGGACACATGTGGTGCACAGACATTGGGGTGGTTTGACTAAGGATGGACTGCACAGGCTCGTATAGTTGAATGCTTAGTCACCGGGGAGTGGAACTGTTTGAAAGAATTATAAGGGTTAGGAGGTGTGACCTTGTTGCAGTAGGTGTGGCCTTGGAGGAAGTTCTGGGGATGGGCTTTGAGGTTTTTCAAAAGCCAAGCCAGGCTCAGGCTCAGGATGCAGCTGTCAGCTACCGCTCCTACTAGTACCATGCATGTTGGCATGTGTCGTCCCCCACACCCCCGCCAGGATAATAATGGACAAACCTCTGAAGCTGTAAGCAAGTTCCCAGTGAAATGCTTTCTTTTGTAAGTGTTGTCTTAGTCATAGTGTCTCTTCATAGCAATAGAACAGTGACTAAGAGAGACATACATGCAAACAAAACACCCATAAATGTGTGTGTAAATAAATAATTAAAAATAATACTGTATTTACCACC